GGTGCTGCAGGGCCCGGCAGGTGTAGGCAAGACCATGGCTGCCGGGAAGATCCTGTACGACTGAGCAGCCCACAAGCTGACCAGACAAAAATCCACAAGAAGAGAAAACAACAGACAAATATCTCTTATGAATATAGATACAAAAATCTCAACAAAATACTAGTGAACTGAATCTAGCAACATATAAAAAAAGAAACACCGTGAAAAAGTAGGATTTCTCCTAGGAACATAAGGTTGGTTTAACGTCTCAAAATCAACTAATCTAATCCATCGTATCAATAGAATTAAAAAACAAATATCACATGATCATCTCAATAGATGCAGAAAAAAGAAATTGACAAAATCTAAGACAGACCCTTTCATGATAAAAAAAAAAAAAACCTCTTAACTAAGTAGGAATAGAGGGAATTTCCTCAACCTGTTAAGGACATCTACAAAAAATCCACAGCTAACATCATACTTAATGGAGAAAAACTGTATGCTTTTCCCCTAAAATCAAGAACAAGACACAGATGTCTGCTTTTGCTACCCCTTCTATTCAGCATTGTTTGGAAGTTCTGGGCAGGGAAATTAAGCAAATAAAAAGAAAAAAAAGAAGAAAAGACAGTAAAAAAGAAATAAAAGCATCCAGACTGGAAGGGAAGAATTAAAACTATCTCTATTTGCAGATCACATGATACTGTATATAGAGAATCCACTAAAAAAACAACTAGAACTAACAAATGTGTTCAGCAAGATTGCAGGATGTAAGATCAGTGTATAAAAATCAGTTGTGTTTGTACACACTTGCAATGAACAATTTGAAAAGGAAATTAAGAAAACTATTCCATTGACAACAGCATCAGAAGAATAAAACACACAGAAACAAATTTAACAAAAGAAGTGCAAAATTTATACTCTGAAAAACTACAAAGTATTGTTCTAAAAAACAAAAAAAGATCTGGATGAATGGGAAAACATTCCATGTTCATACAGTGGAAGGCTTAATATTGTAATAACTCCCAAAACTGATCTACAGATGCAATGCAGTCCCTCAGAATCCAAGCTGACTTCTTCAAAGAAATTGAGAAGCTGATTGTCAAGTTCATATGGAATTGCAAGGGACACAGAAGAGACAAAACCTATCTTGAAAAAAAAAAAAAGAAAGAACAAAGTAGGAAAAGTCACAATTTACTACTAAACAATGATAGTCAAGAGAGTGCGGTACTCATACAAGGATAGACATATAGATCAATGGACTAGATGTTTCTGAGTCCAGAAACAAACCCTGACATCCATGGCTAAGTGATTTTCAACAAGGGTTCCAAAACCATTAAATGGGTAAAGACTAGTCTTCAACAAATGGAGCTGGAACAACTGGATACCCACAAGCAAATGAATGAAGTTGGACACTTACCTCAAACCATATACAAAAATCAACTCAAAATGAATCAAAGACCTAAATGTAATAGCTAAAACTTATGAAACTCTTGGAAGATAACACAGGGGTAAAAGTTCATGACCGTGGATTTGGCAATGGAGTCTTAGATATGACACCAGAAACACGAGCAACAAAAGATAAATTGGACTTCATCAAAATTTTAAAGGTATGTGTTTCAGACAAACCAGAAAACTCAATTCCATTGCAGTCAAGTCGATTCTGACTCATAGCAACTCTATAGAACAGGGTAGAACTGCACCATAGGGTTTCCAAGGAATGGCTGGTGGATTCGAACTGCCAACGTTTTGGTTAGCAGCCGAACTCTTAACCACTGTGCCACCAGGGCTCCATTTGTGTTTCAAAGAACACCACAAGGAAAGTGAAAAGACAACCCACAGAACAGAATAAAATATTTACAAAACATACATCTGATAAGGGTCTTTTATCCAGAATATATAAAGAACATTTACAACTGAACAACAAATTATATTCAGAACATATAAAGAACTCTTACAACTGAGTAATAAAAAGACAATCCAATTTAAAAATGGTCAAAGAATCGAAATAGACTTTTCTCCACGGAAGATGTACAAATGGCCAATAAGCACATGAAAAGATTCTCCACATCATTAATCTTCAGGGAAATGCAAATTAAAGCCACAATGAGATACTACTTCACACCCCTTAGAATGGCTAGAATTAAAAAGTCAGACAATAACAAGTGTTGATGAGGATGTGGAGAGATCAGAACCCTCATATCTTGTTGGTGGGAATGAAAAATGGTGACGCCACTGTGGAAAACAGTCTGGCAGTTCCTCAAACAATTAAACACAGTTACCCTATGACCAGTAATCCCACTCTTAGGTATATAGCCAAGAGAAATGCAAAACATACGCCCACAGAAAAACTTGTACATGAATGTTGACAGCAGCATTATTAATAATAGCCAAATGGTGTTAACAATCTAAATGTCGATCAATAGACGCATGAATAAACATAACGTGGTCTATCCATACAATGGACTACTACACGGCATATAAAGGAATGAAGACTGATACATGCTCCAACATGGATGAACCTTGAAAACACTCTGCTAAGTAAGAGATCACAAAGCACCACATTTTATGTGATGCCATTCAAGTGAGGGGCCAGAGGAGTGAAACCTAGACAGGAACAGTTGAGTCATTGACAGGGGTTGGATGAAGGGAGGCATGGGGAGTGACTGCTAATCCCTATGGTGATCTTTTGGGAATGATGAAAATATTCTGGAATTAAACGGCGGTGATGGCTCCAAGAACATAATGCATGTATTAAAAGCCACTGAGTTGTACACTTTAATGGGTTAAAACGGAAAATTTAGTTATGTGAAATTTACCTCAATAAAAAATTAAATCATACAAACTATCAGTTAAAGCAATTACGTTAAATAAGGGCAATGATTACTCCAAGTACATCACTCTGTAATTATTTTACTACATTTTACTGTTATCTCTGCATTTGAGGTTACTGACATCTATTTTATGACCTTTACGGTTGAGAACTATAGAATGGTGAACTTTAGCCCATCTCTTTCCAACTCCAGATTCCAGGACATCATGTTGTTAGCTTGAAAAGGCCCTGGCGGGGTATTATCCTGCAGAAATTAGCAAATGCAATGCATTAGGATTTAGAATCTGCCAGCCCACACTACTGCGGTGTCTGTCCCTGCCCCTCTCTGATTGCACCCAGGAAAGAGAGACCAGGGGCAGGTTCTCTCCCTCAATACCCTGCCCTGCCCATACCTACCCCAACAGGGATCCCAACCTCCCAAGCACCTTCGTCAGAAACCCTCTGACCCAGAGTGGTCCAGGAGCACAGAAGCCACATGAGGTGCTTCAACAGAAGAATTTAATACTAGGAATTAGTTACACGGCTGAGACCAATAACCCAAATAGGAAGCTTTGGGGTACCATGGAGATTGTAACTGCAGAGAGCAGCTAGCACGCCTGGAAGGGGACCCAGGAGAAGGTAGAATTGGAGAGACCTAGGGAGTCTGGGGGAGGCCCTGGCCAGAGCCCCAGACCTCTGGGGGTGTTGATGCCTCTGAGGAACACCTTGAGGCTGGTCTGGGAGCCTTGACCCACCTGTGCCTCCAGGTGAAGGACAATAGGTCTGCACAGGACTCACACCCCACACAACCTCTATGCAGGTAAGGGCTCAAACAGGGGACACCCTGACCCTGCGGGTGACCAGGTGCTGCTGTGCTGGCTCTGAGCCTACGCACCCTCCCCCTGAAAAGGGGGGACAAGCCCAACAGCCACGGAGCACCCCCACCACACACCTGTGTAAATGATGAAGGGCAGGAGGGGCGGAGAGGTGGGGGCGCACAGTGAGGCCCTGTGCTCCTCTGGTCCGTTCCTGCCACCCACCACAGCTCCTCCTCTCGTCAGTGGGTGTCCCGTGCCCCATTCCCAGGGATCCTGGGAGGGGGCCTGGAGGCTCCTGAGAGGAAGCCAGCCCTGGTCCTGAATCTCTGACCTGTAACCAGGAGCCACATTGAGTTTAGGTACTCCCAGATTCCCACCTGGAGCGTGGACTTTGGCCCTAAGGAAGGGCAACGGGTTTAAGCCGAGGAGACCTGAGCCACGTGAGTGTGGGCTTGGAAGGAGCCCCTCTGGGGGTCCACCTCCCTCCAGGTGCTCAGCCTCCTCTGATGGTCCTCCTCCCTCAGGGCACCTGGAGTGTGGGGGCCTGGCAAGGGCCCCGTAAGGTGACAGTGAGGACCTGCAGCAGGCTGAGAGACAGAGAGGAAATGGACTAGGGTGACTCCCAGTCCAATAAAATGTCCTCAAGGCCCACCCACACCCTAAAGGGGGAGCTGAGAGGCAGCTGAGCAACTTTCTTATCTAACAGTTCCACCTGTACACCTCAACCCTTCCTCCCACCCAGCCATGAAGTAATTTGAGCCTCAGGAATTTGTTCCACCCTTCTCAGTGCCCAGCCAATTCAGCAATTTACAAAACACCAGGAAACAGATTACTGAGAAATTGAAACTGTCAGGCAAAGGGAGGGTGGGTAGAGCATAATTTTCTGCTTCTAGACCTGGCAGCTAGGATCCCAGCACCCAGACTTGACTAATAACTGGTCTCAGCAGCACCAAGCGCACTTCCCAACCCTTCTTCACTCCCGCAGCACTGCTTCCCCCCAACCTAGAAGATGGTCAAGGAGGAGCTCGAGATGGCCGTGCTGGGGGCGCCCGTCAGCACTGCGCCCCACAGTTCGGCGCCCATGACGTCCACCGTGATCAGCATCCACAGCGAGACCTCCGTGCCGGACCATGTCGTCTGGTCCCTCTTCAACACGATCTTCCTGAACTGCTGCTGCTGCCTGGGGTTTGCGGCGTTGGCCTACTCCGTGAAGGTGCGCGTGGGCGCCCATGTGCCAGACACGTGGGGATTCTCCAAGAGGGTGGGAGTGGGCTCTCGGGGTGCTCTCCTTCCAGACGGGCCTGGGGCGAGAAACCGCCTGTGTGGGTCCTTGTGTGAATGTTTTTATGTGTGCATTTCTCTCTTGTGTGTGTGCTTCTGTGTGAATGTGTGTGTGTCTGTGTCTTGAGGGTCTTTCCCAGCGTAGGTCGGCAATGACGCTGCAGGAGGTACACGGGAATGGTCGTGATCAGTCCTTGTTCCCACAACTTCCAAAGAAACGTTTCTCACTGCTAACAGAAGTTCATCCCTCACCCTTGCGTTAAACCCCCAGGCTGGCTCCCAAAACACAAAGAGCTCTCACTGGGGGACCTGAGTGGGGGAGGGCAGTGCTGGGACCCCCGCAGATGCAGAGGAGCCCGAGGCTCCCTGGAGGGACTGAGGGGCTGTGAGGAGGTCCCTCCCCCAGCAGAGAGGGACAAGAGCTCTCCTGCTCGGGCTCTAGGGAGCTGGGGGGGGGGTCCCCAATGTGGGTGAGGGCCAGTGCAGGCTGCCCTGGGGATGGAGGACGAGGGGGACCTGAGTGCCACCACCAGCTCCTGGCTCCCAGCAGGTCCCTCCTCAGGTCCCCTCATCATCTATCTCTCCAGTCTAGGGACCGGAAGATGGTGGGTGACCTGATGGGGGCCCAGAGCTACGCCTCCACCGCCAAGTACCTGAACATCTTCACCCTGGTCTTCAGCCTCCTGCTGATCATCGTGTTCATCATTCTTGTAGCCCCTGCCGCAATGATGGGCCTCCAGGCCTTTTCACAGATGCTGAAGGACTATGCGGGCTACTAGTCACTGCCCACTGCTGCTGCCCGAGCCCTCCGGCCCTCCACTGCTGGCCCTGCATCCTGCCTGTTGACCCCCCACCCCCACCCCCTTTTACAGCAGTTTTCACATTTGTATCTGTCTATAAAGGAATTGAATAAAGTGCCTGTGTGTGCAACAGTGCTGTGACATCACCCAGGGAGGGGGCCCTGCCCTGAGTCTCCAGCCTGGTCCTGAGCCTGAGCTGAGGGGTCGCTCCACCTTGTCCCACTGCCAGACTGGTCTGAGAGAGCAGGGCACACCCTCAGGCCTGGCTGGTTCTTATACAGGGTGGGCTTCTCTGGGGAGCAGCACAGGGGGCAGAACACTCCTGGCCCTGAGGAAGACCCTGACTCTCAGCTGCAGGGATTCTGGGGGTCAGGTGTGGATCTCAGTACCTCCCATCCCCCAAAAGACACTGGGACTCTTGGATCTGGGGTTGCATGGATCTGATGGAGCCAGGCCCTCGCTGCCCCTGCTGGGCAACTCAGCTGTTGCCCCTTCCTGGCCTGCTGCCTTCTGATCCTGGGAGGGGCAGCCAGGGCCTGGTGGAGGGCACAGCCCTCAGCTGTGGGGTGTCTCTGGAACCAGTGGTCAGTCCCGGTAGCCTCTCAGCCCCTTGGACAGAAACTCTGAGTACTGAGGGATCAATTCCTGGAACCAAATATGGGGAGAGGGTACTTCCAGAAAGGGTCTCCAGCACATTGAGGACACCGAGGTACTGGGCCTGGGCTTCTGCTGGGGTGGGGATGCACCTTGGTGGAGGGATCCAGGGGAAGAACTTGCCCTGGGCAGATATTCCTTTTTGATGCCCCAGAGGGAGAAGGCCTGCCGGCTGGGGCAGAGGCGGAGCTGGCCTCTCTCAAAGTCCTGCAGAGTCGGGGAGGGAGGCAGGCTTCCTGCGGAGGCAGTGAGATGTCTGGAAGGCCCAGGCCAACCCTCAGGCTGGTCTCAGGGGTGGGCCCTTCTCGCCTTGATGCCTTGCCCTTAGAGGGGATCAGGCACTCTGAGGGGATCAGGCCCTCTGAGGGGATCAGGCACTCTGAGGCGATCAGGCCGTCTGAGGGGATCAGGCCCTCTGAGGGGATCAGGCCGTCTGA